ACACAGATTACCCCCCCCCCCCCCCCCCCCCCCCCAACCCACACACACACACACACACACACACACACACACACACTACACATCATCAGGAGCCGGGGTCTAAATTATTGATCCGCTGGATTCATCAGCATAGCGGTCACGTCTGAGAGCGGGCGGAGGTGGGGATCTAACTGTGGATGTGTCCCCACGCTGCAGCCGCTGACATCATTAGGAGGAGCTCTCATTAAGGCGGTGGATGACAATGGGGAGCTGCCTGAGGGGGGCGCTGTGGGTGTTTAATGTCTTCCCTTGGGCTTCCAGATCGCTCCGATAAGATCAAGAGGTGAAACACACACACTACCGTGTCCGTGGACGCAATGACAAATGTTCCAAATTGTTCCAGAAATTATTGCGATAAACGATGATATTGTCGTTTTGAGACCATTGTTAACCAAAAGCATAAAGAATAGGGATCCACTTTTTTCACTTCCGATACCAATATTGATATCTCATGCTTAGTATCACCTCACAGCGATCCAATACAGAAAAACTGCTATACTAACTAAAACTTTTTTAAACACTAACCTCAACTTACTGAATTACAGATTTATCTGGTAACTCTGCCCCAGTGCAGCACATTTAAATACACCAACAACTTCACAATCTTTGACAAACGCATAAAAACAACACAACTTTCATTTGTCCAGTTAGCGCAATTATGCGTAGAAAAGATCGGCTGATTATGATGTTTGTTGTATTGTTTTGTTTATTTACAACAAAAACGAAATAATGACTCAACACTCTCCATTCATTTTCTACGGACCTCGCTTGCTAATCTTTTGCAGTCGTCCAGGCAAAGGACTGGCAAAATTCATACATGTGATTTCAAGCTTGTACACACGCAGGCTAGCCACACGCAGGCTAGCCACACATGGACTAGCAACGCAATACAAGAAAGTTAAAAAATTTTCAACTTTTGTCACTGTTGTTTCTATTGCGTCCTGTGTGCTGTGTTCACCTCCAATAGAGCCCGTTACTAAGGAAACGAGAAGGAGGGGTGTCGGTCGATGCACCAGAGTGAAGCTTTTTGTCATCCATCTTTGGTAGAAAGAGACAGAAATCATGACGAAACTAAAAACCATGGAAC